CTTTCTCCTCAAATAGCCTGACACTAAATAAATGTTCTATATTTTCTAGTGTTTGCAGCAGTAATAAAATGAAAAGAAAATACTCCAATGAGAAATTACACAAGTAATAAGGAACATGCTGTATAGGTTACATTTTATTGTTATCATGAGAACACATTGCCACAGATACAAACTCTATTTATATACCTCAGTTAAAAGACAGTACACATTCAGGAGCTTCCACTCTCCACATTTTAACTTTAATCAAAGATTAAATACACATCTATAATGCTTGGATCTACATCTCTTCATCTTGCCGACGAATCATTGTTTTATTGGGGTACTTCTACTCTTCAAATTTTTACCTTTAACCAAAGCTTAAATACATACACATTTCTAATGCTTAGATCTGCATCTCTTCATCTGTGTAATCTTGCTAACAGACAGTTGTTTTATTGGGGGCCTTCTACTCTCTATATTTTAAACTTAACCAAAGATTAAATACACATCTCTAATGCTTAGATCTGCATCTCTTCATCTGTGTAATCTTGCTAACAGACAGTTGTTTTATTGGGGGGCTTCTACTCTCTATATTTTAAACTTAATTAAAGATTAAATACACATCTCTAATGCTTAGATCTGCATCTCTTCATCTGTGTAATCTTGCTAACAGATATGTTGTTTTATTCGGGTGCTTCTACTTTTTATATTGTAACCTTAACCAAAGATTAAATACACATTTCTATTGCTTGTATTTGCATCTCTTCATCTGTGTAATCTTGCTGATAGATCATTGTTTTATTCGGGTGCTTCTACTCTCCACATTTAAACCTTAATCAAAGATTAAATACATACACATCTATAATGCTTAGATCTGCATCTAACAAAGATTAAATCACCAAGTGCCTTGCCAGCTAGCGTAGGCATTCATGCATCTCCTCAGATCTCAGTCTTTGGTGTTCTGGATCAATTCCACCGACGATATTCCTCTATGCCATTGTCTTCAGCCATCCACCATCATTTCTCTTGGTCTGTGTCTGGTTTTTTTTTACCAGTGATCTCTCCAGTCCTCACAATATTTTCCAGTGCTCCTTTTCTCATCACATGATTAAATACAATCCCTAGATCTGATATTTTTATTAGGTAACCTTGCTGATTTTTGTGTCTCCACAGGAAAGGTTGGCTACAATGGATACCTGCATCCAGTGCTGTCTTTGAGAACACTGATGGTGAGGTATTAGTGCCGGGCTCTCAGGCGCGAGACCCAGGTTTGAATCCTCGGTACTGAAAAAGCTAATCCTGGCAACAAATGCCTGCAAAAGTCTGATGTGTCGGCCGAAAGGGCAAATATCGCAGCCATGTTGTAAACAATTATAATGCATGTACATTTCCAGATGAATGCAGAAGATAGAATCCTTGGTAGAGTCACAGATTTTTTTTTCTATCCAAGACAAAACTACAATTCTAACTGCAGTCAGTCCACAGTGACACACAGCACTAAATTCTCAGGCTCAAAGCCCCCCACCCCCCCCCCCCCCCCCCCCCCCCCCCCCCCCCCCCCAACAGCAAAAGTGGTAAATAAAAATAAGAACTGGCAAGTGTTTCGGGGGTTTGGGGATTAGTGGTGAGGTCCCAAACTCTTCTACTGGGCAACTCTCAGACTGATGTCCTTCTTCTTCTTTGCGTTCATCAGCTGTAAACCCTGGCTGTTCATCCATTTCTTGACTTGTTTAAAATTCCAAAACTGGAGTTCTCTACACACATCCGTTTTCAGATGCGGCTTACTTTTAATGCAGACTATGTTTCCTTGCCTCTCAGGGCGATGCACTCAGGCTTTGAAGGAAAAACCCTTATTAGTTGTCTTTAACAATATACTAGTTAGGGCAGTGTGTCAATACCTCTGTACAAAACCCAAAAAAAGAGAATCGTCTCCCCCCCCCCAAATAAAACCGCCTGCAGCAGAAATAAATAAATCCCTGGTACGTCAAGGGTTGTGAAACATATTCACTAACCTCTAAGCAACAAAGCTTATTGTATATATTTTTTTATACAATCATAATGCAAGAATAATTTATTCCTGGAATACATAACTGATAATACATATAGCATTCAAAGCAAGATGATGGACCACCATAAGGTGACATTTGATAAGACATTAAAAATGCATCTTATTCTAGGCATTGCTTTTCAGGTTTTTCCAATCTTAAAATTACAACAAGAAAAAAAAATGCATTTATCAGTAATTTATTCAATTCAAAAAGTAAAATACCCAAACACAACAGAAAAATTAAGAAGTACAGTAACTGTATATTAATGCCTACAATAACAAAAAATGTCTTAACAACTGTGCAATTTCAGCTGTCAAATCCCATAAAAGTAAAAGCACAAGAATTCAGGATCTCACCCGTAGCAGTTTTATTAGTAGAAAATATCCTATAGTTATTGAATTTTTAAGATACCTATCTCTAAATAAGTACCATACCTTTCCGGGTATAAAGACGACCCCTACTCTTCACATTATGGCCTAGAGTTAAGAAATCACTTTTTTAAAGACATTCCAAGGATAAGATGACCCCCAATTTCAAACTTGAAAAATTGAGAAAAAATATCCTCTTGTACAGGGAAAGTACAGTAGGCAAGTAAAGGCTGTTTCACTGCCTTGACCCATTAGGTATATGGTGCTGGATACCATTTCTGAAAGGCAACAGGGGTAACACAGTAAATTTTTGTGAACAGCAGTTGTTTCTTTCTTACTTTGCTCTCCTTTTGTATCAAAACAAGAAGCCAAAGATCTTCATTCGTGAGGCAGTTAATGAAGAATGAGATCTTACCACAAGGATTACTATGACTGAATGATGTTCTCTACAACGTAAGCATGCACACACATACAAGACTACCTTACATACAAACAGAATACTGGGTCTCTCAGGAAATCAATGAATTAATGAGGTGATCTTTCAGCATTTTCTCACTAATGAAGGCAGATTAACTCAGTCTGATTAACAGGATCAAAACAAACAGATGTTTCTGCAAAACAGTTCTGCCATTCCATGATAAAAGCAAGTGAGAACTGTGACGGCTTCCTGCTAGAGCCCATTGTAACATTTCTGTTGCTAACATTTGTTTTCTCCTATATTTAAGCTTTCAGCAAAGTTAAAAAAAATAATTCTTCCCAGTTAAAAGCTGAAATGTCTTTCATTGGTATGAGCAAGTGAGAACTATGACAGCTTCCTGTTCCAGTCCAATTGCAACATTCATATTGCTAACATCTGTTCTCCAGTATTTAAGCTTTCACCAATATATGTATATATATATTTATTTTTTTTCAAAGTCATTCTTCTCAGTTAAAAACTGAAAAGTCTTTCTGTGGTACTGCAGGTAAATACTAAGATGGCTGCCTGCTGCAGTCCACTTGTAACATTTCTGTTACTAACATTTTCTTCTTCCGTATTTAAGCTTTCACTAATATTTTTTTTTAAAAATCATTCTTCTCAGTTAAGAACTGAAATGTCTTTCCTGTGTGAGTGGCCACCATTACCTATGAACATTACCCAGCAGAAATGCGCTGGATTAAAATAGCAACAGTATGAAGGAGGAAGCAGGGGTCCATTTGATGTTAGTTGAGCCAATCCAGGTCATTCCCTTGACTTTTAGTAATCGTCCAGGTCGAAGTCTTCAAGCAGTCCATCAAGATTGTGAGGATCCAAAGCCTGGAAGTCTACCTGGTACCTCAGAATTCCTGAAAATAAAATTTAAAATGTTTTGTAACTGATCCCCGTCAGAAGTTACAATGCTGTCTTAAAAGAAAACTTAAGAACTATAGAAGAGAGGCTGGCCAAATGGTTAAAACTCTGGGCTCTCATCTGGTAGACTCAGGTCTGAATCCTCGGTAAAGCTGGGAATTTTTCTGTCATGGGTAAAATAAAACCCTTACCTGCACAGTTGTGGCGACAGCACTAGCCATGAGGCCGTAAATCCTCAGGCTCAAATACCCCCCCCCCCCCCACAAAAGTGGTAACACACAGGCAGTAATTGGTAGCTAGCAGAAAGAACTATCAGCTTTACTATATATATAGTGTGCTTAGGGTGAGGTGCATTTTTTTTTACTTATGGCTGTTAGATTCACACCAAATGCAAAAATCATGTTTTTTAAAGTCTAATAAAGTAAAAGTATCTAAAAAGTTCTTTTTATTTTATTTTCCAAAGACTTCCTTAAAACATAATTTTGAGACTGCTTGACTTCTAAAAAAAATGTTTAAACACCTTTGGCTTAAAGAAATGTCTGTACTTTAAAACACTGAAGTCACTGACTGGTAAATACAGGGGGACCATATTAATGGGACACATTTCAAATGCATATATGGAGCATGCAGGAAGCAATGTTTATTACCAAACATATGGAAAACTGTTCTAGTTGTCTATCCACTTCTGAACTAAAAGTTTTGCGTGCACATTAATTTTACAGATCTGGCTTGTACAAAGATTTTTCCAGTGTGGGTTTTGGGCCCCATTTGGGGGCAGGCGGAGAAGGAACAGACCCACTGCCTCTATCAAAAGGCATATTGTAAAGGTGACTAATTAGGATTTTTTTTCCTCCGGATTTGGAACACATCTGCCTGAGAGGGGAGGAACCAAGAGTCTGAATAAAGCAAGCCAGATCTGAAAAAGGGATGTGCGTGCAGAATTTGAGTTCTGAAACAAGACATGCTTGCTGAGGAGGCAGTGGATCAAACAACTGCAACAACACCAACATGACCCTCGAAGAATTGCAACACTTTAATATAAACATCTTTATGGTCTGTATTTACCACTTGGTCATGTAGGACGTGTGAATCGTGAGCCTAAAGATTTATGGCAGCCTCGCTAATGCAGTCGTCATGAACTGTGCAAGTTAGGATTTTTAATTTGCCAGTGATAGAAGAAAAATTGTCCTTCCTTACAGAGGACCAAATCCAGCTCTCTAACCACTTGTCCAGCCTCTCCTATAAAACTAATATAAAGACAGCATGTATTTAATATTATTAACGAAGGATTAAATAATGCAGAAACAAGTCTTGAACTATACCTCCTATCCCACCGAAACCTCTGACAAACTGGGCACCTTCCTGCGATCTGTCTGTGATGATCTCAAGAGTAGCGCCTGCAGATTGCAACAAATACAAAATATTTTATAGCTAGATACATTTGTATAAACTATCTTTACTCACATAATGACCACATTTGAGAGTGGTTTAGGATGGGAGAAGGAGCCTTAGACCTGGTGGTTTAGAGAAGCATGGCCAGTACAAGTGCTACAGACTGCAGGGTAAGAATGTTCATTTTCTGTACTTAACAGTGAAAACCTCCATCACCTTACCGAGCATTCTAACCCAGGTCTCCCGCATGAGACACTAGCTTCTAACCACTCGGCCAATCCATCCTCAGATAAAATTTAAACTCACTAATTATAATAGGCCACTGACAGTACAAAACACCATTATCTTTAAGTAAACAGCAGCCCATCTGAATATTTCACTAAACATCCATATTTAACAATCCAGGGCTGTGATTATAGACATACCTCAGATTGAACAATGTAAATAAATTAATTCTGCTGCAGCAGTGAAAATTTCAGATGTGCGAAGAGTCTTTAATTCTTGTAGTCCCAAACAACGCATCAGTGTTTCCTTGCCAGATTTTATTTTCTTGACTCCATCTGTTTAGTAGGGTTATTATGTGAGGTCTGTTGGACAATAATTATTTGCTGAAAATGACAGGGGCTTCTTTTTCTCCTCCGCCTGCTTTAAATTTTTTAAAGGGTAACTGACAGGTTGTGATTTAGTTCATAACTAGACTGCAATATCTACACCCTTCGGCACAACATATCCAATTTCAGCAAACTTCTAATTGGTCGTCTTTTATGACATGCTTGTTTGTGTGTGGGGAGGGAAGGCAGTAAGTCTACACCCCCCCCCCCACACACACACACACACACAAAATAGGCCTTCGAATCCACACAGCAGGAAGGTTAAGGAATTGTTGAACTGTCCACTGCTGAAAGAGTCAATATTTGCAAGCTACTCAAGAAACCATGAAAAAAAGAAGTATTTATTAATTCAGTCTACTATTTTCTAAAATGGGGGGCACAGGGGTACCTTGGTGTTTTGTTTACTGACTCTATAAACAATCAACCTCCTAAAATCTCTTTTTCTCCCTCATTTACTCAGCACACATAATATACTAACTTTGTCCAACTCTGGTTGACCTGCCTGTCATCACATGAATACCTCATTCCACATGTGTATGGTAGTATATAACTACCACACTACAGTGAGTCATACACAAGCCATTAGCAATCACATAAATATTATTCCGTGATCAAGTATCTTCTGCTTTCTTTGATCCAGATTCATCATCGTGATCATCCTGTCATGCTGCAATATGTCACATAGGTCCGTTCCAATCTATCTTGGGCAATCTTATCAAATTCTTGGATTCAATTCAGTCCAGCACACCTGGCTTCTTTCTGTAACATTTGTTTTTGGGTTTCTCTTGGACATCCTGTCTTCATTTTCTGAATCCACCTTTTTCCCCATTTAGGTGCCTGTTGGGTGATTTGATCAGTGTGTTGTTTTTTTCATAGTGATAAAGCCACATCAGTGACTCCGCAGCAATATGACATAAATACTGTCATACACAATGCAGATCACTTTTAGCAAGTCTACAGTTGCACTTAGTCAACACATACCAAAGTTTTTATAGTTGTTTGCAAACCATTCCAGCAACGGCATCTGCTCTATTAACTCAAGCTCCACTCCAGTCTGAAAACAATTACAAGAAAAAGTTATTAGCTGAAAACAAACTAATCTATATATATAAAAATCAATATTTGTGTGTTTCTTTATGAGCTATAGAATCAGAAACTACTGAACCGATTTAGCTGACATTTTCAGGATATGTTTGTTTTAATACCGGATGTTTACCCATCATGGTTTGAAATTCTACCTGTCATAGAGATAGGGGACGACATTTGTTGGGAAAATATTTCAAACTAATATTTCCATTTTTAGTGGCATTTAATTATAGCCACGATTGTAAATGCGCATGCGCGATTGACTTTCACAGTGGATGCGCAGTAGACACGGGACCCTCCATTTTTTTAGATCCGCCCATACAGCAAACCAGACTATCTCTATATCGCTGATTGCGACGTCAACTATATTATACATGATTTCTATTTTCTTTCTTTTCAAACGTTCGATGAGTTAGAGAGTAGTCAGTGGATTTGAGAGAGGGGAAGAGAAGGGGGGTGGGGCGGGAATCTATGTCTGCGCAGACAATTATTGCGACATTTACCGTGTTAGACACGCACGATTTCTATTATTGTGCCGTTTCAATAATACTTGAAGTTTATATCTGGGATATCTGTTAATGAAAAAACAACTGCCTGCGGTTTTGAGCTGTGTTAGAATCGGGACACACATCTTAAGTAGTTTTATTATCTTTTCGTTGTTCAGAAGCAGTGGTTGGCTGATCGAATTGTTACTACACTGGGTTCCCGTGCAGGAGACTAGGGTTCGAATTCCCTGTACGGCAGTTCCCTTTTTTTTTTTTTACCCTTCGAATCCCCTGTACGGCAGTTTCCTTTTTTTTTTATTACCCGGTAGCAAAATAAAACCCAGGCCTGCTCTGTCGTGGCGACAGCACTAGCCATATAAACTATTTTTTTTTTTAAAATAGAGGTATGTGGGTAAACCAGTGAACATTTCACATACTTATGATTTCTTTTCAAACTTTCTGATTGCATGGTAACGCTGAATTTTGGTAGTTTTCCATTTCGGTTTACTTATTTCTTCTGACATTGCATTGGAATTAGGCTGTGTTGTTTATCATAGCGTTCATTTCGTAATTATTGTGTATTTTTCCTGTTTTCTTTGCATTTCACTTGGTTTTTTTTCTCCAAACTACTTCGATGAAGGCAAGAGTAGTCGGTGAATTGGGGGGGGGGGGGGGGGGGGGGGGGAGCATAAACTGGTAACTGAAAGAGCTTTAAATCAAAGTAACTGCCTTACCAACTCGAAGAAGTAGTAATTGAGCGGTTACACCATAGTGCTGTAATGCCAGAGACCGCCAGTAAGGTGATGGCATTTTTTTGCCGGGGAGCGAAATTACATATCCTAACCTGACCAGCCCGTGCCGACAGCATTAGCCTTGCGGCGCCAAATCCTCTGGCTCAAAACTCCCTGTCTACTCCGACGGCAAAACAGATAGCAGTGACATTATTTTATTTATTGTGGTAGCGGTGGTAGTAGTAGTACTGGTACTTGAAGGATAGTGTGGTAAATATTACACTAGCCGCATTTACTACTCATTACAATTCCTGCTCCATATTTAAGTCCGGATATCAACGTCAGTTACAAAAAATATCGTCGGGTGATGACTTTCAAATCCTTTGATGAGGGAGAGAGCAGATGGGGGAGGGGAGGGGGTGATGACAGAAACTGTTAACTTAAAGAGCTTAACGCATGATTTTAAAGTTTTCATTTCTTAATTTGTTTATATTTTACTAATGCTACCTCCGCTATTCTCATTTTTCTTTTGTTATTTACAAGTACAGTAGTAAGCTTTACTTCAGTCTCTTAAAAAAATACAATTTAGCATGTGATAACCAAATAACCATTTTTTTACTGTGCTAATAATACCATTTAAACGACTACTAATATAAAGACGCAATTATATGTTGCATGTTCTAAAGTGGCAAACCAGACTATCTCTATATAAATGTGCAGAGAATAATTGCGACATTAACTATATTAGACACGTGCGATTTCTATTGTCTTTCTTTTCAAAAAGCCTTTGATGAGGGAGCGAGCAGTAGGTGAATTTGGGAGGGGGGGGGGTATCGAAGACTATCTCTGTATGTGCGCAGACAATGATTGCGACAGTAACCATATTAGACATGTGCGATTTCTATTTTCTCTGATCTCATGGCTAATACTGCCACAGGAAGTGTCAGGTTTTACATTGACGCTGGTTGCATAACCTCTACAGATATCACAAACCAACCCGCCATTGTTGGTTGTCATGTGGTTTCACTAGGCAATTTAATGTTCAGTAGTTTTGGTACTGCTTACTGAATGCTAGACGCTCATTACCTTATTACAATGAATGCTGCCAAACTGCATCAGTTATTTAAACCTAAGATGTTGGAATTATGAAACTGCATTCATAAGCCCTAAGCCACAGATGTTGACTCCAAGTATTAGGTTTCAGCACAGTAAATCCATATTATGGATTTCAGTTCCAGATTTTTCCTTGCAGTTTATCCCTAAGCGATTTTCCAAAATAGAATACTGCCACAAGGTAGTGGAGGTTAAGGATCAGAATTTACCTTATAGATGAGCTGTACTCCCATACTTATGAACCTCATCAGCCTGAATATGTTCTGAAAAACTCCACACACATTTTAAAAAAAAAAGAGCAAATAAACTGACACGGTTTTTCCCCAGTGTGGGTTCCGGGAAAACAAAAACCAGCCCACTGCTTCCCCAAAAGAACGTCGTAGGAAGTCGGAGTGCATCTGCCCGAGTGGCAAGGAACAACCAACTGCACACAAATAAGTCAGTAAGACTGATGTACGCACAAAACTCTGGCCCTGGCACAAAGACAAAGTCCAAATGGGCGAACAACCAGATTTTTTTTGCTGTAGCTTACAGCCGGTGAACATACTTGACATATGGTGCTAGCTCCCTATTTGTAAAGACCTCAACAAGTGATGTGGCCAATCAATCAGGTGCCATCTCCACAGTGAAGGTTGGCTGCAATAGATCTCCATCATGCTGTCTCTTGTCTTGGTTGTACACTCTCTCAGACTGCTGTCCGTCCACCTCTTGATGTTGTCCTCCCATTGGTATCGTTGCCTACCTCTTGCCTTCGACCTCTCCCTCCAGTATTGTTTTTAAAAATGTGTTATGTCTTTTAATGTGGCCAAAGTATTTCAACTCTTTTTTTTTAATATCAGTAATTCCCTTTTCCTCTGTAGCCTTTCTAGAATCTCTGTATTGGACTGTTTTAGTTTCCATGATGTGGTCAGTATCATGGTAACCAGTTATTTTCTAGAACAGTTTTAGGTCAATCAGCCTGGGAACATAGGTCACTTTCAACAATCTGCTCCAATGGGTACTCAAAGCGATGATCATCAGGCAAATAAACAAGTATGTTAGCCACTCTACTATTCTGTAGGCTGTATTAGCAAAAGTTTTCTTATTTATAAAAAAACCTGTTTCCAATTCAAATTTTTAAAAAGTCTGTTAATGAAAAATAGACTTAAAGATGAAATATATATTTAGTAGAACCAACTTATAAACTGAATACTTGTTATTCACTTAAATATTACCTCTTTATCTGTGAAGTATGTTTTGTCCTTTTCCTGATCTGGCCTCAAGTGCAATATTTTTTCATCTGGTTAAGGAAAAATGCATTAAGAACAATCATTTTATGTTCACGCATAATTAGAAAGGTAATGGTCACCATTTTTATCATCTCCTTGTACAATGCTTTATGCCATAATATGAAGCTTTCGAACATTATCTAGGTATTTTGATGTCCATCTTTCCCTCCAACTGTTCTAGGGTCACAATTTTCAAAAGTGTTTCCTTTTTCATCACATGTCTAAAGATAATAGACTGCATCTGATGTGAGTAAACATTACTTATGAGTTAATTTCAGATTTTTAGATTATTTTATGAATTTGCCCATAATATTTTCAGTAACATTCTATTCCCTGCACCTTTCAAAGTAATTTAATTACTCGTCTTCTGCCAATGGAGCGGAGCATATGTACTCATCAAACTTCCCCCAAGGTTTTTTGTAGACTTAATTCAGAATTATTCTGATTCTGCAGCTCTAGTTTTCTAAAGGATGTGTAGGGTCATTCTTAGCCAACTCTTATTCACAATGTTCACAAGTGCCTAGCCAAGACCATCTACCAGAACCCCTGGAGAGCTCCTGTTACTTTTTAAACCCCATTCTATGCTGCTCTCAATTTCTTCTGAGCCTATTCCCCTTAGAATGAATACCTACCCCTGAGTTTGTCAGTTTCATCGGCTTAAACATGTTCTATACTTCTGTCACTGAGTATTTCTGAGGACTGATCAACTGACACAATAGTTTCCAATGGTCCTCCCTTGCCTGACAGATATATCTATTAGCCTAAATCCTTTAGGTTATATATTCTCCAAATTAATTTCTTGTTACATTTTTTCCCATGATTTTACAACATGCATTGTAGGTTAGTGATACTATTTTTTTTTTTTTTTTTTTTTTGCTTCATAGTCTTTTTCTTTCGGTACAAGGGCATTTAAATTAATTATATATCAACATATGATACATTCCTTGGGAACTGAAAGAGTTAAGAACTAAGGGTCAAAGACTACATCACTCACTAAGGACCAAAGACCACATCACCCACCAAGGACCTAAGACCACATCACCCACCAAGGGCCAAAGACCACATCAACCACTAAGGACCAAAAACCACTCACCCACAAAGGGGCAAAGACCACATCAACCACTAAGGGCCAAAGACCACATCACCCACTAAGGGCCAAAGACCACATCACCCACTAAGGACCAAAAACCACTCACCCACAAAGGGCCAAAGACCACATCACCCACTAAGGGCCAACAGGTCCATACAAATATGAGTCTAGTATTATATGCATGATAGGTCACTGACTTACAACGGGTGCTTTACTTAACTGCCATGGGCCCTGATAACATACAGACAGACTTATGTTTACAGAAATCAAAAACATAGAAACCCATTTCTTTTTCCCAATACCTTCTGTTGCATGATTTTTCAAAAGAAATCTCTGGATGTCCAAATTCTCCCACACAATGAGAATGTCCACAGAACCCATCTCTAAGGCTTTGAGTGTGTCTTCAACACCAAAACAATATTTGCCAGTATCTTGTGAGATTTCATCAAAATAGCGGCCTGAAACACACAACAGGTGGCCCCATTAAGTTATTGTAAACAAAAATGAACAAATATACATATAGAATAACACAAAATTAAGTAAGAAGATAAAAAAAAAGGACATCCACTTGCAGTAAATATATAGTGATTAAGGCATAGAATTCCTGTGATTATACAGCAAATAAGGAGTCATTCTGTCAGTTATTAGCCATCTTTACTTCCCCCAAAAACTCGGTAATAGCTATTATTTGATACTAGAACAACCTCACAAGTGTACTCATGAAGGAAATAAATGTCTCTCTGCTAATGAGGACTGAACTCAAAGTCAGTGTCGAAACCACAGGTGAATGAGTGATGGCAGATGCAAATTAAAACAAGGATAATAATGATGATGAAAATAACTAATACTAGAGGATCACTGAAATAATTAAAGTTAATTAAAAATAATAGGTGGTTAACTATAAATTTGCCAAAATATTTATGTTGCTATCATTATCTATTAGAACCTAAAACAGTGTTCAAAACAGCAGATGCAAACATACGATCTGCAACCAGACAGATTAACAGAAATTATCTTCATACTAATATATTAATTATTTTGGCAGTTATACATTATCTTGAAAGCAATTTAACAATTATGTTAACAGTTATATTCCTCTCTCTCATGCGTGTGCATGTCTACACACACACAGATATATATATAACAGCTTGATTGAGGTATACGAATTACCTTTATAGTTATTTGGAAATTACCCTGAAGCCAGTGACACATTACCAGAAATACTTCACTCAGCTTCCTGACAGAAACAGATGTTAGAACAGTCACTGGTGTTTTGTAGTGACTGTGCTGGTATAACAAACAAATTGTGCACACAATAATAACACTACCTATTAATTTCTTTTCCTGGATGAATTTGACATTTGCTAGAGAATCTGCTGCAAGTTCTATCCCTTGATTGAAGCCATTCTCACCACCATAGGACACATCCACAATTTTGATAATCTTTGCTTGAAGACGCTGAAGACAGAACAAACATTTTTTTTATTTGCAATACTAGTCAGACATAAAAACAAAATGGCGACATCATCCTGTCCAACTGTTGGAAAAGAAAAATTGTCTACTAAATTGTAAGTTTACATTAAGTATCACATCACATCTTTTACTGTGGAACATATGGAAGAAAGGCGAGAGGAAGACCAAAAAAGATATGGACAAATGGTGAAGTTTAAACCTGCAAAAAGATAAATCCATCATTCAAGCCACCCGAGAAGCGCAAGACAAATACGGAAAACCATGACACTGGGCTACAACCTGGTATCAGCATGACAAAAAAAAAAAGATCACATCAAAATATGCTGTAAACAACTATATGATGTACTGATACACATATTATGCTAACTGTTCTTAACCTATAACATCCATGACAAAAATAAATTAATCTCCCAATTTATACATACATGTAATGTAACTATTTCTATGTACCATAAAGTAAGGTAGTGTGAGAGTTGTGTTTCACCAATTATTTTCTTCTAGTCTGATCAAAAGAACAGTTCAATTCTGAAATTAACTGACCTTGCCTTGTATTCAAATTCAATGACAAAGTTTAGATTTAATAAAACAACCCTATAAGGATAGGGTTAGTTGCGTATCCTTTACAGGACGTTGCAGAACCAACCCCACAGCCCCTGGCTGTTGTGTGGTTTTTCTAGGCAAATTTACGTCCAGTTATTTGCCACTGCTTTCTGGACAGTCAGCTTTCTTGATACCACAGTCAAAGCCAACGCAAGGCGCATGGCCCGCAGCTGGGTTCGAACCCGGCATCCCGGAGCGTTCGCATTGACTTAGCCACAGAGCCGACTAATAAGGATAAGGAATGTAAAATAATAAAACATTGTGATGTTGTTGAGTTTCTCTGATGTTATCTTCCCAGATTGTTCTTGGTCTACCTTGCGCTCTATGTCTCTCTCCTCTTTCGATGCATCTCGTATGGTATGGCATCACAAGGCATTTTCTTTAACCATTTGATTTGCTGTCTTTGTATGTAATTTAGAACTGGTTCTGTGCCGACTTCCTCTTAGACTGTATTTTCTGATCTGATCTTTTTTTTGTCACCCCTGCAGACCTCATCAGCCATCTCGTTTCCAGGGCTACCAATTTTCTTAAGTGAATACACAATAATAAGTATACAACACATACATTTAAACCGCAAAAATTTACTATTATCAATTTTAGGTAAGATAAAAAACACGTATATCTGTTAACTATTTATGTTTTTCCTACCGGGTCAAACATATCTGACTGGCTAAGTTCGGTTTTGAAATCAGCAGATCCAGCCAAGACTAAGCCTGCAATGTTGGGTTTATCACTAGTGATGAACAACTGCACAGCAACTTCAGCAACCTTCCTGACATAGTTGTGTCGCTTCTCCATCCTCAGACGAGCAAAACGCAAAGCAGACTGCCCTCCTCTACCTAAGACAAATTAGTATCATGTTATTAAAACAAATGCTTGGCATGAATGCTTCATCTGAATTTTAAATCAGTTTTTCCACAAATGGTGTAAAACAAGGCTATTCAACTAAGTTTACTCAGGGCCAGAAGTGAGTAAATAGGGATTGCCAGACGCCTAAGCCCCAGCACAGATAGATCATTAATACAATACAGCTGGCAATGATCCACGGGCCACCTGCTAGGTCAATTCTGGCCCGCAAACCGCCAGCTGAATAGCTTTGGTATACATACTATCTGAACAGAGTAAAGCAATATTCAAAAGAAAAGCATTCTTTAGAGTTAACTAAATAGATTGTTCTTGTGCCCTTCATTCAGTGGCAAACATTGGATATCTCATCACGCAATATTCCTAAACATATCAACAGATGCACTGTAGTTGACCTCCATGTGAAGGTGGCAACCAAATACAAAAACAAAGTGTTTTTTTTATTATTTAAAATTAAGAATTTTTAAAATTCTAATCTGGGGAGAGAGAGAAGTTAATGAAAAAGCTCTCAGGAATGTATGCAATGACTGAACAGCTACATGTTTTTTAATGTCAAGTGTACAACAACAACAATACAAAATTTAGCTTAAAAGCTTTAGCTATTCAGCCATTGGCTTCCATTCCTGACAACTTTTTAAAATACTTACTAACTCTGACTTAGCCAGTGCTGGTCCATGGTTGTTTATTTAACAAATGCATGTTAACCTCTAAACCTAAAAGCCACTTTACCATTCACCCAGTGGTCATGCCTAGCAGTAGGATAGGCTCTTCGTCAGATAAAACAGCTAATGTAGAGGTATACTGAACTGTGAAAATTTAAAATAACAGATAAGTGTGCTACTACGAGAGATCTCATTCTTCTTTATCTTCAGCATTCTAAGCCCTTACGATTAACTGCTGCAGATATCAGCTGCCTCCATTCCCCTCTTTGACTGGTCTTCCATTTCAAGTTGGTGCCACTAGTGTTTGTAGTCTGCTTGGAAATTATCTCTCCACCATCTTCTTAGTCTGCGACCATCCAACTCACTTGTGTTCATTTTTTTGCCTCTGTCATGTGAGATCTCTTATTATTTAATGCACTAAAAATAAAGACAAATTGGTAATTAATGATTATCCATAACATACCATGCTTTTTGGGCAAATCAACAGTAAATTTATGTAAGACTTCTCGGGTGTTCCCAGACAAGGTACCAAACAGAGCACCATTACCATCCATTATGATAAACCCAAATTTGTTGTCATCTGCCAAGAGAGCCGTTAATGCCTGCAAATCATAAAAAATGTGTGTAAGCAACAATTTAAAATATTTCATAATGGGCTGGGAAAGTATTTATCAGTCAAAACGAACAGTGGAAACCTATCCATATTATACAGAAATATGCTAAGTACACAAGAAAAGGTCTGTTCGGTGACATTTGAGTTGACTCAAAAACCAACATCCCAGCACTCCCATAAGTGCTCCGTCCCTATTTTCAGCAGCCAACGTAGAGTTTCAATACCAATGGTGCCAGAAGCTGTCTGATTATATGTCCGTCTTTCCTTTCCTCTGAGCGTCAAGTATTGGCCAGATCCCCTCACCACTACTCGCTGCAGCACTCTCACCAGACTGGGATGATCAATCTGCTATTTAGTGACACATGGCGTTCTGGATGCTTGCATTATCATCATCTATGAACAGACTTCACACAATATGGTATTTTTCTCAAACAATACACCCATATTAAACCACATGCTTTCAGATGCCTGTCACAAAACTTAATGGTTTCTTAACTTGACAATGATATTGATATTTAAAAAATGTGTCTCATCTGGTCACTATCCCGTAACTTGCAGAATTAGAGACCATACGATTAACTACCATTATCATATCACCAAACTCCCTGTGTGGGTTCCCAGGCCCTATTATGGGGTAAAAAAGGAATAGACCCACTGCCTACCCAAAAGCATGTCGTAAGAGTCGACTAATTGGGAGCTTCCTTTGAAGTCGGGATGCATCTACCTGAAAGGCAAGGAACCACCAGTCTGCATTCAAATGAGTCAGATCTGTAAAACAGATGCACACGCAACACTCAGGTTCTGGAACAGGACTGCAGTCCAAAAGTGGGTAAACAACCAGAGCTTTCCACCAGAGTTTTACAGCTGGTAAACGCAAAGAACAAGAGAAGATATCACCAAATAATTTACTTTTAACCTACACACAAACTAAGAGCCTAAATGCAGGAAAAGGCAGAGTTTGTATACTGAAAACATGCTGAATAACAGTGATGCACAAGGAAAACTGTTGGTGTGATGCGTAAATGTCACATATGGGGCTGCCTGGGGTGAGGCACAGCAGCACAATCTCTGCTGTCTATTACCCACACGTAAAGTGACCGCTGACACCTTCAGGTGCGGAGCTAAGTCAGTATGGACATGAGCAGTGGGCTCAAAGCAGTCTTAAACTACTCAAAATGTGCTCTTTCTGACAAAGAAATAATAATGCAGTTCAAGCACTGTCACAGGTTGTAGATTATACACATATGAATTCCTCAGAATAAATAAATGACACGATGGCCTGTAAATGAAAGTGGTGTTGACTTAAAGAAGTACAGCCAGAGAGGATAGACCATAAACACGGGTCAGCGCTCAACATAATAATCAGTCCAGCAGAACTGACCAAAATCAACTTCCCACCTCTAATCATGGTTTAAAGTTTATACTCAATGGAACTGATCAGTTTCAATCCAGGCTTCAACACTGTGAGTCATGCATTTGTACACTTCCTCACAGTGCAATTACCCGTATGCGTGTTTCGCTGACTCGTGTGATTCGACATTTCAACATTTTTTTACACGTTATTTGCAACAACAAGAAACCAAAATAGATCTAACAAGGGAAATTTATTATCACATAAATAGTTTTGAGGGGTAATTCAATCCTAGACCATAAGATTTTTAGCTGTAACTATTCACTCCACTACCAAGGCTCCAAAATGTAACATAATTTTTAAAACACATGGTTACAAATGAACTCACCTCTGTGTGAAATTTATTATCACATAAATACAAAGAGGTATTGATGGGGCGGAATGGTTCAAAATCAATGTTGACTTTCTTTTCTTTGCCTTCTTCTGTAATGATTGTCCCACAGTAAATGACAAGCCCATTGGGAGGAACTGCAAACATAAAAGTTTCATGTTGCAATAAAGGATAAAACAATGTTAACTAAACTGTAAAATCTTTATTAAAAAGCCATCAGTGCTGTGATGTCAAATTTTGACTGAACTCAACTCGACTATTTTGAAAAAAATGTATTTTATTTTCTCTACATTCAAGCTAAAACTCTTTCAAAACAGAAATGTAAACAAAATAGGAAGAGACAGTATATGTCAGATTTGCAGAGAACATATTACCCCCCCCCCCCCCCCCCCCAACAAAATATTATTGCAGGGATGAGCCTTTACAAGCAAAACATGACAGGGAACAAACAGCAACAACGAAAAAAGCAAGGAAATATTTCCAAGTACTGCAGGAAAAAAATTTGATGACACAATGATATAATATGATACCTGGACTGCTCAGAATTTTGTGAAAGAACGGCCAGTGGTCGTGTTAAGTATTTTAGAAAACATAACAGAGTGAATTCCTTTGGCATATTGAGGATTTAGTTCTATGTTCTTATTTTCCCAATGAGATGGCACACACAAAGAATTCAGTGCAATAATTAAGTGATTACCTTTGTTATACAATTTCAGCCTCTGTTGTACAGATGTAATAGCACCAAGAACAGACAACCTATTGACTCGACTTTTAATATTGGAAGCAGTTCCAAACTCATCAGCCAACATCTTGTTGACTCTTGCAATCTGGTCTCTTGGTGGAATGATCAGGGAAATCATGCTGGTGCCGTTCCTGCAAGTTGATACAACTTTATTCATTAATTAGTCAGTGCTAGCTCCTGCTGGAAATCTGAGCGGCATAACAACACCTATATTTATTATTTGTCCTTTGACATGTTTTCCCCTCTCAGTATATTGTGTAAGGTTGGTGATTAGTTATTGAACACATCCAGGTCGAGTGACAGTGGTCGCCTAACAAGAACAGTAGCTAACATGCTTGCCTTCCCGTTTAATACTGGAATTCCCAACAAGATGGAAATTTCTTTTACACATACACACACATATACATTGGTAGCATAGAATTAATCAAGTAACAGAAAGTGTATTGATCGGCACTCATAGAAAGAAGTAGATAGATAGAAGAACACACTAGACAGCATAAAAATCGAAAGCTATAGTTACCGTGCCGGGAATTGAACCTGTCACCTCCAGACGGCGTCTGCGCCTCGCCATGAATACAAGTGCACTAAGAACATGGTCAACTAGGCACCCCTCACCACCTCCTCCATCTATCTATCTACTTCTTTCTAAAAATGCCGATCAATACACTTTCTATTACTTGATTATTTCATAATATTTAACGGCCTTAAAGGTTCCCCCTCTGTTTATTTATTGGTAGCATAGCGTGTCTTATACATTGACAATACAGTATAGGTAAATGTAAAGGTGGCAGACATAATACAGACCATCCCATCTAATAAGCATTAACTTTATCTTAATAAAATATGGGACTGGTATCAAAAACTTAGTATGCCTTCATACATGAAAGAGGTACAGTCGCTTTTTCAGCTTTACAAATGTTAAATTATTGTGGTCTTTCAAAAGAGAGCAAGCAACCATCAGTCTTTGGGGACTATGGAGTTGTGCAGCTGGTTTTAGGAACAGCGTTTGTTATGACTGCCATTGCGAGAGTGTCGGTCAATGTCATACAATCAACATAAAAACATTGACACGCTATCATTCTGAGGCTGGTTTTCTCTCAGAAGTCTCCTCTCTATAGATTGCTGCATTTGGCCTCTTTCAAACTGCACCAGCCTGTCTTTCAATGTCTGCCTCCAAAGGAGTCAGTATGCAGCTCATCTCTCCCAAGTGTTTGTGTCAATGTTTATATATCTTTCACATCATGCTGGTTTTATCCCCATTACCAGTTCACTATATAGGATATCCTTTGGAATATGACCATCCTCCATGCAAGAGACATGTCACAAATCAACGCAAGCGGCTTTGCTTCAGTAGGAAGTACATTGTCGGTATTCCTGCTTTTCTGAGTACATATTGACTGGGGACAAAGTCTCACCACGATATACCAAAAAATGTGTCTCATTAGGCGCATTAGGAAGGTATCTAATACTTTTTTTTCTTGAGCACAAAGAGTCCAGGTTTTACAGCTGTAAAGGAGCATGCTCAAGGCGCAAGCTTCAAAAACTTTAATTTTGGTCCAATCTGTAAGCTTTTTGTTTGACCAAAACTCTTGCTGTGAGCTTAGAAAGCTTTGCAGAAGCCTTTCCCTTTTTTTTCCTGTCTAGTTCTGCATTCTGAGAGCTTAGGTATTCAAACTCTACAAACCAACAGCTCATGGTCTAAAACGCTAATGCTTGGTGGGTTTAGCAGTCATTCTCATCACCTGCCTTTTGTTGAGACCGATAAACAGCCCAAATTCTTTGCATGCACTTGCAAAGCAATTCATGGAAATCTGCAGATCATTTTCAATGTGTACAGTAATGGCTGCATCTTTCACAAAGTCCCTGATGCATCTTGTCTGCACCTTAATATGTGCTATCTAAAAAGCAGCTAGAGTATACATGCAACAATGTTCTCTGACAGTTTTTGTTCTTTCCTGATCAATCAAAGCTTTTTGTAGTGGTTTTTTTTTTTAAGCTGGTGCTGAAAAAAAAAAGAGGGTGACAGCTTGGCATACTCTGACGGTAGAAAAACACAAATATATTTTTCCTATTTTAGACACAAGCCTACTACAAATGAGCCTCATGTGCCCCCAAAATACTCCCCCACCCCAAGGAGATATATGAAATCAAGTGTCAGATGATATGGCTAATCTAAGAGTACAACATGTACAGTAACAATCTAGTGTATGAATGTGATCTATGTATTTCAGTCAAAATGATTCATTTTCGTGCTTCATTTTACACTGATGTAAATTTAGTTATATGCACTTAACAAGTCACAGTGAAATATGCTGGGCGATAATATATAAAAACTTGATATGTCCTAATTATTTAACTTCGTAATGACAAAACATTGAGCATTTTTCTTCAGTTTTCATTTGTTAGTTGCCTGTCCTTTACAGAATGTTGCAGAACCAATCCCAGAATTGTTTAGCTGTTTTCTAGGCAAATTTTACGTTAAGTAATTTGCAACTGCTCTCTGAACAGTCAACTCTCTGTACCACTGTTGAAACCAATGCAAAACAGTCTACAGCCAAATCACCTCCTGTGATCAAATCGGGCACCCTCCCATCATGAAGCATGTTCACTACGCCAAAATAACCATAATGAACAACTGAAGCATATATCATATACATTTTATTAGAAAAAGTACACAGTGACTGGAAGTAGTCATACAAGAAAACAGATTTCACTAGCATTCTCTGTCCAAATGTGAACTAAAGAAGATAATATGTAATTGTTAGGATTCAATTAAAAAGGAGCCTTTGACACATCAATGTGCAATGCTTGGAATATAAAAAAATTTTCATTTTAAAATTTAAGTTTAAAAAGTTTCAGAACTTACCCTCTCGCTGCTTCTAAGCTTTTGATAAGTTTCTTGATCTTCCAGATTTCAACATTCCTATCAGCATTGGATTCACCACTGCTATCTACACCGTTTGTGGCCATCACTCAACTGTAGTTGATGTGAGTCTCTTGAAAACAGTAAAGTACAGTCAGCCCTAAGGCTGAAAATTCTGCTGTAGTTGAGCCAAGTTAACAGGTTCACAATGCTGCTGGATGTTCTGACAATAGTTGGTGGTGAATGTACTGTAAAACCAATAGTAACTATTAAAGTAATAATTTACACAACCGTAGACTAGATAGGCTAAAAATGTAGTAGTAGTAGTAGTAGTTGTAGTAGTAGTAGTAGTAGTTGTAGTAGTAGTATAGTATCAGCAGCAGTGTAAGAACTAGTTTGAACTAGTACTAAAGTACTGTGATAACCACTGTAATCAGTACCAACTGCTCCACTGTCTAAAGTAAATATATGTAAATAATGAAATACCTGTTTGTCTTAGTTCGCTGTTAACAAGTAACACTAACAGTAACTGGCTTAACCTTTCACTTTTGCCTTAGGCTAAGCTTAGACTTGGCAATTTTCAAAATGTCAGTTGATTTTTGACGAAAGTCACAGAGTACCGATCGCCGCCGCAAAGCGTGTAGTTCGTTTATAAATACTTAATAATATTGTAAATACTTAATTATACATAATGTAAGTTACTTAAGTGCTACCTTAATGACTTAGTATACGAGTATGTATTGTTTTTTTTTAAGTAAAATACTGTTGTAGTAACTGTTTAAGTATATGGACAATAAAATTCAGTCGTACTCCTAACTTCCGAACAGTGACGAAAATGAACACTCAGCAGACACACGATTTAATGCGAATGGTACACTATACGTAAGCTTTTACACCTAAAAGACTATCTTCAAACACTACCTAGAATTACAGCAACCGTCTGTTGTTGTTCTGACTTTCCCCTGCTCGCTGTTTATAATGAATAATGGCTATTTTTGGCTAGGTAACTTTCTTCCCCTTGTGCAATCTTGCTACTCCTCATCCTAGTCTGGTCACACACGACTTCTGCCAGCAACCATGTGAAAGCCGTGACGTCACGGCACAGGTAAGGCTCGCAGAGTTGGCGGCCTATTTTCTCACTGGATGAATATGTTGATGACACCTACAACCTACTGCAAATGTGGCGTGTGTGGCGATATATTACTGCGAAAAAATAATTGAATAAAACTAGGAATGAACAGATCGTTGATGACGGTTTTTTTTTAAAGAAAGATAAGTGAAATATGTCGATCATATTAAAAGACACAGTTTCATAACCATCTTCTTCTTCCGCCAGTTACCTCATCGAAGTGGTGGGAGGAGATGGCTCTTCTGTTTTTCTTTCTAATGCGTTGTATAAGTTGATCTTAATTTCTTAAAGACTGTTCTTGTTGTCTTCAGTCCATCTACTATATCATATTTTGCATGTCAACCGATTGCTCCCTTTTTAATATTATTTTTTTTTCTGCGTGGCAGTTATTACCTGGACATTCTAGTAATCTGTTGCTCTCTAGTGAACTGTACGACTGTAAGATGTGACACTCTTATTTTAGAAAAGAAAAGAAATAACATGCTGGAGGGAAAGGTTGACGGCAAGAGACAGACAGCAATACACGTGGAAGGAAGTACACGTCAAAAGACATAAAACACTTTAAAAAACCATACTGGAGGGAAAGGTCGAAGGCAAAAGAGCAAGAAGTAGGCAACGATACAAGTGGGAGGACATCATCAAAATATGGACGGAATCATTCTGATATAGTGTACTACCAGGAAAAAAGGCAGAGCTTGTTGAAGATCTTTTTGCAGCCAATCTTCGTTGTGAATACGGCACCTGATTGATAGGTTAAATAACACGTTTGAAAGCTATTGACTGGCATCCAAAGAGAGGAAAAGAACAGAAGAAAATGAGAGAAGCACACAGACAAAAGACAGAAATTTAGGCGTTAATGTGCACTAGTTCCTCTGTTCTGTTTTTTCTATCATGGGAAATCAAGTGTCAGATCATATGGCTAATCTAAGAATACAACATGTACAGTAACAATCTAGTGTATGATTGTGATTTATGTATTTCAGTCAAAATGATTCATTTGCATGCTTCATTTTACACTGATGTAAATTCAGTTATATGCACTTAAGTCACAGTGAAATATGCTGGGCGATAAAATATAAAAACTTGATATGTTAACTGTTTATCTTCGTACCGCGGCTCTTGCGGTGTCCGGTGTGCTTCCGTCGGCCCTTGAAAACCCCACAGTTTCTTCTGCATTAGCCTTAAAAATGAGTGCTTACATGTTATTGTTTACAGCTAGACTGTGATATTTGCGCCTTTCGCCTCACCACATCTGATTTCAGCAGAGCCGTAATTAAAACCACTAGCGTTTACGAGACGCTTATCAAGAAGCGATGAGTCACTCTTCCATCCTACCCACCCTCATCGAGGGGTGCATCCAGAATGTGTGAGAAAGTTAAATTGCCCTTTCCCTTCTCGGTGTGTTCTTTATGTCGCCTCCACTGCCCCTATCAACAGCTTGCAAACAAACAAGTCAGATCTGTTATACGAATGTGACCGTTGAGTCTGGAACAAGTTTAAAGTCCAGAAGTGGACGCACAACCAAAACTTTCCGTCGGAGATCACAGGCGGCAAAAGCAAATAAGAAGAAAACCAGGATGTCGTTTCGACGTTTTCAAATTCCCATAGTTTTTATCTTACCCTTACACCATCTGTTGCATGCTTATATATACACTTGTTTTATGTGCCCTGCGATAACAGTTTTACCATAGCGTCGATGTACTACAGTGTAGTGATCACACACGAAAAGTTGCAGAATCCGTACACCATTAAATAAATTATTAGTACACATATTGACAGTCTATATATTTTGCACCTGTTATGAAACATAATAAACTCAAAACCTTGGTGACAGCCGGCAAGACTGGTGAAAAGAAAGCAAGGGATACAAGCAGAGAAATTTGCCTGGATAGATTGGTCACATAAATGGGACAGAACAAGAGCACTGACCTGGTTCGTAATTCTGGATAACGTGTGAGATGGCCAATCATATCTGCTTAACGCTTGTAGTCGGGGCAAATGGCGCTTATAATGATTGATCGACAAATAGAAGATACGAGGAAACAAGTCATAACATGGCATACTGATAATACGCAGACAGTAGTTTGGGTCATTGCAAAACTCTCCTGTGTGTGCAGTTACACTTATATTCGTCTCAGGTAATGCAAGCGTTGTTGGTAATGAAAGAGCTGATAGACTGGCAGGTGTTGCATTAATTGAAGATGGCCGGCCCATAGATCATCAGACACTGTTATTGGCCTTAGAGAGATAGAACGTTCTGAGGATTTTGGAAACAACGTGTCCACATCACTGCTAAGAATACGAGAATTGGGAGTTAAGATCGGCCCAGCCAAGCATGAAAAGCACACGGGACGCACACGAAGTCTTGTTAACCAACATAGGACTGGCCACGGCCTTCTCTATTTATTAGAGAAGGCAGTGGACTGGCATTATTATTAACCACGCGCCGCCGATTAATATGTTGAGAGTGGAATTTGAGCGCCTTTGGATGTGTCCAGAGTGCTGTGAAGATAATCTAACTCATAACTGATAATAGGGCGGGGGGTCGCGGCACTCAAAGTCAGTCTAAAGAGCTGCGGATATTCATTATAAATTGGTTTTTGCAGTAGCCTGTGTGTGTATGTGGAGGGGAAGGAAGGGTGTTGTGTCTTAAAAAAGGTGCTGGTGCTGCGTATTTTGAGCCATAATTAACATCATAAACCACTTCTGTTGGTAAGCGCCGTGGGGAGGAATAATTTGCGATCCAGTGCACGCTGGCAACCACTGGCTATTGTCATGTCGTTAAGACGTAGTGTCTTAAATGATGTCGATCAATTTTTTTCTGAGGCTTTCACCGCCAGAAAAAGAGTCGTTCTCATAATTACCCTTAGTGTTTAACTGCTTACCCTTTTTTCTGTTCTCAAGTCCTCTTCTGTCTTTCAGCGCAGGTTTGTAAAAGGCATCTTGTGCTAGTGACATTAAACATGCTGGTATTTAGGGCCTCGGATATTCTATCTATTCCGAATGTCGTTTGCCTGAGATTTGCTTTTACGACTGACGGGGCTGAACTATCATGTGATAGTCTGATACACGTCCTGGAAAGATGTAAAACAGAGCCTGATTTAAGTCGTAACTATTTGATCTGTCTTCTCTCAATGTAGTTTAGCACTGGTTTCGTCCCAGCTTGTTTCATAATATGGTCATTTCTAACTCGCCCTGTCGCATTTAGGATTTGTAGTGAGGTAGACAAATTGATTTGTTATTTCGCTTTTTACCCCGTTTGTTGTTAATGTCCACATTTAACACTGGCAACTCAGTGTTAGACTAAAAACAGTAATGATAATGTTGTTGGCACCTTTCCGTCTTTCAAGACAATAGTGTTATATTCTGCTATGATGAGGCATGGGACAACAGCGCGTGGCAATGACGAGTGTGACTAGCAAGACCCACCCACGTTTAGAAAACTCTTCCGCGGTTATAGCGAAAATATGGCGGTGGCTGCAGTCAAGATAATACAAGGAATTCCAGAGAAATTTGACTAAAAAGCTCAACAAAATGGGGAAGCAGAAAAACGGACACAAAACAACGTTGTTTTGTGCCCGTTTTTAATCAAATTTCTCTGGAATTCCGCGGTTATAGCATAGACTTGTTTTTTGTATGTTTCTTCGCAAATTTTTAGACTTCGGACTGGACACTGTGGTCTTCGAGCACACCTGTACAGGATAGGCATAAAAGAATCTGCTGCCTGTGATTGTGGAGCAGAAAGACATACCCCTGAGCACATACTGCAGTACTGCCCTTACCTCTCCCAGCAAAGACTGGATCTGGCCCAGGGGAGCCACATTGCAAGAGAAGCCATGGGGGACCGGTGGCGACATTAAACGCACAATCATATTTGTGACCCAGACAGGACTCAATATTTAGCATGACTGATGTCGAACGCAGAAGAAGAAGAAGAAGGAGTCAACTTTGATAAAAATTATCCTCCATGCCATGATA